ACTTCAGCTCAAACCAGCACAATTTGCCTCACCTCCTTGTATCACTTTAATACATCAAAACCACAAGAAAAAAATAACATTTTTCAGTGAGTGGCATGGCCCTTCATCCTTTTAGTGCTGAGGGTTTGGGACAAGCCTTCAGTGCAAAATGGAAGGTCAAATATTCTGTGGCCTTAAAAAAAACCCACCTGATGCTCTAAAAGAATCTTGCTCTATAGGAGATTTTTATGTCACTGACAGCTAACTTTCATCTTCACTGCAGTAGGGAAGTCTTATAATGGTTTTATAAGGTCATCCTTGGAGTCATCTTGGCAGGCTTATGCAACTGCAAAGACTATTGGACATTTTTTTAATCTTTATATTTTAGTTTTTAGATCAATACTCTGTATAAGACTTTTGCTAGCTCTTTTATGCCATCGGTGGTTTGAGGTCAAGGGTAGAACACAGAGTGAAGTTACAAGTGTGACTTAGATGGTGTTATAACTCGCCTCTGAGACAGGGAAGTTGAGATTCCTGTTAGTAAATCCCTTGGGGTGAATTAGAGTGAAATGACACTGAATGACTGGTGTATATATATGAAGCAGGTTTATTTTAAAACAATTTCATTGCAGCAGAAGGGAGGTATGCGGGTGTTTTGGTTCTTTTCTATTTAAGTTTAAAAACATAATGAAGAAAATATATGAGGAAAAGAAAGAAAGAGAGGGAAAAGATAGACTAGACAGCAGAGAGGAAAGGTATAACCTGCCATGGATCCAGCATTGAGACTTGGTCATTGCAATTTCAGTGTCAGTGGTCAGAGTAACAGTTGCAATCCTGATCCATTAGGGCTGGGGGCCCATGAAACAAAGAGTGTGTTGGGTTAAATACATTTAAATTAGTGTGGGAATGCCTAGACCAGGGTGGAAATTCTTTGTGTCTGATGCAACACTATGAGATATATGCAGTCTTCTGATGGAGAGTTCCTGAAAAGAGTTGAGGGCTGTTTTGGGGTCCTTGGTGGTCCATACATAGCCTGCTCCCCCATAGGAATGTGACCTCTGTTTGACCTGGCTTCTTGTGACTGCACAGCTGTGTCTTATGGTGAAAGGGGGAAGCTGACATTGAAAAAGCATTCCCCCACCTCCATCGAATCTGCTTCTTACCAGCCATTCTCCTTAGATGATTTGAAAACAGCTTGTTTAAGGCATCATGTTCCCGATTGCCCTAGATGCAATCAGCTGTGGGGTTTGCTGAACAAAGTGAAGTTGCCACAGATGCTAGAGTAGCTTGTCCTAAGAGAAGGATTCGTGATGTTTTCTAAACCAGCTGTTCAGTGTTTGTGTCAGGTTTTGAACCTCTCTTGCTTGATAATAGCAGTTAACAGTTTGTATTCAATGCTTTTGCTTAAGTGGAAAACAGATACAGTTGTAAGATGTTGAGGAAGTATCTTGACAGAGATTCACTGGCTTTGCATTTATTTAGTCTGCAGTAAGACTAATCATATGAGTGTAGCACAGTAGTACTGAGGGGAGAGCAAGGGTCAAATTCATGAGCTGGTTCTTTAGACTCAGTTTTGCACAGACCAGCTTTTGAGAAAAGGCTTCTAGATTTGTCCTACAGCTTCTACCACAGTTTTCCAGTTTTTCTGTAGTGCTGTTTTGAGAGTTTTGTCATGGTTTAGGAGTGGTATTCCCCAATTCAGTGTTTACACTGAAACCCCCCAGACCACATGCTGCTCATTCCCTCCCCCACCCCTTTTCCCTGGGATGGAGGGGATTTGAGACACAAAAGGTAAAGATCACGGGTTGAGATAAGAACAGTTTACTAAGAAACAGCAGTGAAGTAAGAAAATGGACAGTAACAACTGTATTAATAACAGAGTGTACAAGATAGGAGAACGACTCACACACAGTCACTCATCATGCGGAACTCAGTGCT